GGGGGGTCCGTCAGCTTGCCTTCGGATTCTTCTCTAGTCTCACCGTATGCGTCGCTACCGTTGTGACTGCGGGGGGATGTTGAATAACGTGATGGTATTAGGAAACATGGGATAAACTAGGAATATTTTGCCTTGTCTTGTACTCCAAGTACATCATGTACTCCTATATATATGCCCACGAGGATCAAGCAATACAACGAACTATTCCACTGTATCCCTCTCTCCCTTCTAACAGATATAACCACTTTATTAATTATTCACGGAGACCTTACAAAGTAATACATCAGTAAGTCTGAAGCCACCGTTTTGGCAGCATCTATTGCTAGTCCTATCACTTGATGAAGGGGTGCTGATAGTCCGAGCCTAATACCAAACAGACTTCGCAGCAAGCCTAACATCTAGAACCGAAGGGCCCAACCAAGCCACTGCCGGGTTGGGGTACACACTGGTCCGGCGCACTCTCAAAGGCCACCGCCGCCGTCTTCCACCGATCCATCTTCAAAGCATTTGCCGACGCGTCGACCTTGTGAGGCCTACCATCGACGTCACCACGACGCCAGATAGCTCCAACCTCCTGCACGAGTCCATCTACCCGCATCAAACGCCGAGACTCCACTGCGCCACACCGCCAAGATCTGTCGTCTTCGATGCGGAAGAGGAAACACCGCTCCACCTCTAGGTGCATCGCCGGCCACCTGTCGTGATGCCGTGCAAGTCCAGGCCCGAGAAAGCACGCAAGGAATCACAATTTTCAAGACAACACCTTCATGAGAGGAAGCGACGTGTCACACCATCGTCTGGCCCTGCACCGCAGGTCCTAGGCTTTCACCCGAAGAAAGTGACCCGAGAGCGAAGTAGGTGAGAGCTCCACGGCGGCCCCCAGGAGGAGAGCGACATCCGCAGACGTCGCGTCGTTGGCTTTCGCCCAGAGCAACCCTACCTCCGCACCCTCAAGCTGCTGGACGAGGATAGAGAACCCCAGCGCCGCTAGCATGCGAACCCACTAGCCCAAGCACCTCCTGCGCGGCAGCGCCGCCACCACCACGCACGACCACCAACCTCACCATCTGTCGAAGCTAACATGCCAGATCGGCCGAGCCCGCCAAGGCAAGATCTGAAACCTTGGGTCGCCGTCGCGTCAAGGCAGCCACGAGCAGCCGGCAGCCCATCACCCGCGAGAGGACGAGGACGCCGCGCTGGGCAGCCGCCTCGCCGGCTGGAGACACCAAGAACTAGTCTCCCACCACCACGGGCTCACGCCGGAGATCAAGGCCGCCGCGCGCGCGGAGATCCCTGCCGCCACCGTCCTGCGGCGCGGGCTTCGCCCGG